AATCTCAGGATGGTACGGCAAACCCCACCTAGATTGCCAGCTTTTAATCTCAGGATGGTACGGCAAACCCCACCTAGATTGCCAGCTTTTAATCTCAGGATGGTACGGCAAACCCCACCTAGATTGCCAGCTTTTAATCTCAGGATGGTACGGCAAACCCCACCTAGATTGCCAGCTTTTAATCTCAGGATGGTACGGTAAATCCTTAGTATTAAATTGGACACATTGGTTAATGGAAACAGCATCATGGCACTTAGGTCATGGACATAAGTGTTCTGTCTCTTTTAGGAGAAGGAGGATGTACTGGTGCCAGCTGCTCTTTTGCACTTTTGGTCTGCAGACATCCGACATGCCCTTGTGATTGACATGAAACTTGTTGCAGTTTCTATTTGATGTTCCTCAATATTATCAGTCCTAAATGGTTTGACAGTAGATGTCCAAAGGATGCTATATATATATAAATCCTTTTGATGTCACTTAAAGCATCCATCAGTGATCTCCATTGCTGCTGGTCTGCTACTTTTCTGTCCATAGTATCTCATGTCATTTTGTATTTCTCAATTTCCCTTTTCTTCTGCCCTTCTCCAGGTTTCCTTTGATCTTCCACGTCTCCCTTGTCTATCTGCTATGCACCACAGAACTGTGCTTACCAAGGTGTCTTTAGGCATTCGGTAACCATGCACAAGCCACCTACACTGTCTTCAGTACTGAATCAGGATTGAACCATATTTGCCATAGCTGTAAGGATTATATTACCAGTATCTTGTCAGCCTGCCTTCCTGTCTCCAAGAAATAGTTCATACATAATTTTATTAGGCTGTGGCAGTGTGGCTTACGCGTTGTGAACATGCTTCATAATGCCGGGGTGCCTGGTTCAATCCAGGTTGCTGGCAACTGGCAGCAGACCGTCTCGCATTGGTTTTGACAGTTGTATTAAGAATCGACCGTTCAAAAGCAATAATAAAACTACTGAAAGTAAATTTGCCTAGAAAAACGACAATAGCCAAAAAATGCTAGGGTTGGTTCTGTAACGTCCTGAAATACAAAAGGATACACAACTTTTAAGGACAATGCAAGGAGTACAATGGTAAAACAAATAAATGCTACAGTTAACGGGAATCAAACTCACAAAAAATGTATTAGGAAGTGAAGAATCACAAACAACAAACAAGCTCAAGCTTGCAAATATTTATAACAAAATACGAAACAAAATACAAGTGTATGATTTAAGTGTTAACTATAAATCTTAAAACCAATTCACAGAACCAGACGCCAGGTAACATTCATTTATCAGCAGCCACTTCAAAGTTAACAACACAACTTGTATTGAAAGAACACAGCTGAAATTAACTACATAATAGGTTTATGGAAAAACAAGTTCTGCGTTTTCCGTCAAGCTGTGATTAACTCATTCAGTCCCATACATATGTTATCTCTTTACATACTTAGAAGTTGTTAATTTGACTAATGTTTGACCTTTGATGTGAAGAAAAAAAAACATACGAGACAGAACATCTTAAAGTAACAATGGAGCTGGTGTTATAACTGAAAAGAGCATATACATAATAGCTACAGTAACTGAAGCCATACTTTTCAGGACTTGAATGTGTCTGAATTTGTCAAAAAGAATTGCTGACAGGGTGAGAATTATCAGACACAGGGCAATGTGCTCCGTCACCACTAGAATTATGAGAATAGTTTGCAGAATAGCTAGTTTTATTAGCTACAGTTGACCATTTGTTTTAATTCTTTTCTGCCCGTTATAATGAATATACTTTGTGCACAAAAAGACTTTTAAGGGTGAGAGGACTGATTTGACTGCAATGTGTTTATTTTATTATGGCTCACTCTAACTCTGCAGTCACTAGCAATAGTGTTACCCAAAACAAAAACTACACAGCTCCACAACAACCTACAAAACAATTGTGCCCGTGAACCATGATAAACCCATAACCTTCAGAGTAGACGGCAAATGACTTAACCATGGAGACCTCTGCCTGCAATAAGAGACTTCACCCCGAAACCTTCTCCTCACTGGCCACTGCTGCCTCGTCACTGCAACTTACAAGCAGCCTGTGTGTTTAAATTACAAGTGTCCTTCTGCAGACAGTTCCAGACATCACATGGACACTGAGATCTTGAAGGATTTATGGATTCAATGTCAACACGTGAACTGAAACATGCTGTTGAAGATGGCAGATCGTGGAGAGGCAAGACCACCCATGCCAGCTGTCAAGGCATTTGATGATGATGATCCATGTTTTAACATTTGAACAAATAAATACAGAAAGATACAGCCGGTCAACCATTGTTTTAGTTATAAAAAAGTATGTGCATAACACATGACTGGTAGAAGAAAAAGCACAAAGGGGTCTTAGTTTTGACAGCAAGAACACTGAGGGTATAATCATCATATCAAAGCAGCAGACGCTTAAAAGTTAGTTGCGTATTGTATCTTTTACTGCATATTTTGGGTGTTGTGGTTTTTCTAGGCAAATTTTACACCCAGTAGTTATCCACTGCTTTCTGAATAGCCGGCTCTTGGTACCACTGCTGAAGCAAACCAAGACATTCTGCTGCCAAAATGTCTGCAGTTTGGATCTAGCCTGGCATTACGAAGCACTGTAAAACTTAAGTCTAAAAACTACTTCAGGGTTAGTCAAGATAATCAACACATGCTGGTAAAGACAAGGGCGAGTAAATCACCATGTTCTATGCCAGTAGCTACACACCACACGTATGATGCTAGAGTCATATTTGTAGACTAATTGGCACATGGTGTTGATGTGCTTAACACCATGCCAGCCACCTTTACTTTCCATAAAATTTGGTCCGAAAAGATAGCAGCAAATAGGAATTATATAATATAGGTATAACGAATAGAAAAGAACAAAGAAAACTGCAGTTTGAAAAAAAAAAATTAATATTATATTTGTACTTAACATGCTACTGAAAACAAAACCCAATAAGTAGAAGTCCGAACAAATTCCATTTATGTTATACACAACCAATGGTTGTAAATCCTCAACACAATACAAACCAGCATAACATTTAATAAGTCAAATAAATATAAGTTTAAAAAAAAGAATGATAAGCACAACATCACTATCAAGTATCTCAACCCCAGTGTGGCAATGAAGCTTCCTAATTGTGCTATTTTACAACTGTCTATCATGCACTGCCCTTTTTAATTCCACGTACTTCACTGATATGTTAGTGCATGTCCCTTCTACATATCTACCCCACGCCCTCCCAACCTGTTTTGGACAAGAGAGAGACTGGCAGATAACAGACATACAAAAACAGCTGAATGGAAGTATGATAGACCGGGAAACAAACTCAACACTTTGAGTCAGCAAGTGCGGAGGGTCAATTACAGAGATGAATGGAGGTGGGTGATATCCAAGAGTTAACAATTGGAAAGAGAGGGACAACCACAAAGATCTACACGATATCTGCAACAATGAACCTTAAGGTCTCAGAATGCTGAAGAAGAAGTAGAGGATCAAGTATAAAATAAATTGATCATGAAAAAGACAGAACAGTTAACACTAGTTGTCTGACGAGAAGGTAAATCTGGAACATACTGAAACAAGGGGAAAGATTAGGACAAGGAGAAAAATACAAAGGTAGAAAGAAAGAGGTTACTAGACTCTTGCATCATGGTGTAACAAGATGTTAGCTCATGAGCTGCATCCATAATACCAGAAAACAAGGAGCTGGTTAGGCATGGCTGATGCTGATGACGACTTCTGCTGCATCAAAATCAACTTGTTCAGTTCTATATGGTTTCACAGCAGATGCATAAATCAAGGAAAAAACCACTATGAAAAGTTACAAGTGTATTACTTAAAAAAAACTAAATAAACAGCAAAAGTGGTCACTGAGGATGCCAGATTTCTTCAGTATACTCTGACCATATTGTAAAAAGTAAGCAAACACAGAAGGAGATGGTTGGGCTTCCTTAAAAGAAAAGGAGCCAGCCACACCAAAATTGAACAAACTGAAGCTGTCCATCACAATCACACACTGTTTATTCATATATTTATGTGAAATGAATGTGTTCATCTATTCATCAGTGAGACTGCCCATCTGTTAATCACAATCATACTCACACACTGTTTATTCATATAATTATGTGAAATAAATTTGTTCATCTATTTCCACGAAACTGGGATCTGATAATCACAATCATACTCACAGAAATATTATTCATCAAATTATCTGACAGGATTTTGTTAGTCTGTTCATTACTGTCCATCTATCCGTCACAATTATACACACACACATATTTTATTCACCTGCTCATTTGACAGGATTTTGTGAGTCTTGAACATTTTCTTGTCCAAGTTCCTGCCTAGAGACAGGACTAAAGCAAACATTTACAATGACGTGGCAGTGTCTAAATATTCATCTACCTCATTTTCAATAATGTAATATGTAGTCAACTGACAGATTACTGGTAAGATTTTACATTTGTAAAGTAGGCACACAGGTCTGCCTGATTATTAAAGAACATAGAGGAAGACGATGGGGCAGATAATCACCAAACAAGCATTGAAATGAGAAACAAATGGACTGAGTAAATGAGAATGTCTCAGAGAGACTATATCAAAAGACTGCACAGGGTTGAATGGAACAGAGGAACAGACTACTAGCCCTATGTGATATGTAATGGCACAACAGGATGACATGATGATAATGCAGGTAAACTGACAGACAAATGAACAGCAGACATATGGACAGAAACAGACAGATAGACACAGACTTATGGATAAATTTAATAAGTTATTTAGACTTCTCTGACAGATGCTATAAGTATAAAAAGAACTAGCTTTTCTGGTTTATGAAATAACTAATTTCTGATTAACTTTCTCTACATACTACAACCACATATATACATGCAGATATGCCACAATGAGGCAATTAAAACATGTTTCAGCTTCAGTGCAAAGTGAAGAACTGGGAATCTGCAACTTCAGACTCGTCCTTGTGTGGGATCATTGTGATTTGTTTCTGGCAGCTTGAGACTCAATCACCAACTTGCCGGACCCGTACATCTGACTGATTAAAGCCTGTAATCAAATAAGAATTTCAATAGTAAAATATAATGAATAATGACAATTTTAACAGTAAAATATAAGGAGAATTTCAACAGTAAACTGTACTGAGAATATCTGTGTTAAGATATAATGGGAATATCAATAGTAAACTATAATGACGTATTTCACAAGCCAAGAAGCAAAGCTATTTGACTATTTTGTGAATTTTTATATGTTGCAATTTTCTTTTTAAAACAATGAAACAATTCAGATATTATATTGGCATTTTGTTGTTAACAGATTGTTTCCTAAATACTGCAATGATTTTACTTCAATGCTACTGCATGTTATCAGTTATACATTCTCTACTTTGTGTCCTATTTAAATAAGTATCCTCTTTTCTTCTTCAGGATTACGAGCCCTTGAAGTTCATTGCTGCAGTTATCACACATCTCTATTCATGTCTCTGGTTGGTCTTCTTTTTTTTTTTAAGTTGGTAGCAGCAAGTGTTTGCAGGTCTCTCTGGACGTTATCTATCCATCATCATCTGCATAAGTATAATTTCTGATACATGGAACAATTTCCTTAGTCCTGTGACTTCTATTTATCCAGACTTCACTGTACCACAATAATAATAGTATTCAAAACTGTTTTATTACTGCCCTTTACTCTTATACCCTAGAGTGTAGAGGTACCACAAAGTCTTATCCAATATCACCACTTGTACCCGTAGTTACAGAGGTACCTGACTTTCTTTATGAGTCTTTCCTCTTAGATGTAAAGGTACCTTATGACCGTAATCTTCTCTACCAGACTTTGATTAAAAATACCTTAGTCTTGTATTTCTGCACTTATATATATATATATGTATATATATATATATATATTTATATATATATAATATATGTTACAGTCTATCTGGTCTCTCCTCTTTAACCTTTAGATATAAAGGAACACTATAGCCTTGTCTAGCCTTTCCTTTTCTATCTACCCTTAGATGCAAAGATATAGTTTTTCTAGTCTCTTCTCTAGAAGGGACTGACACCAAAAAATGAGTTAATTATATAATTACCTGTCGTTTTAAAACATCCAGATTTTTTTTAGCCTTTTCTGTGAGGGTCTGGACCTGAGCTGTGTCTGTTACATTTTTGTTTTCTTTAAATGCATCCTTTATTCGACGCAGGTAATACATTCTATGGAATAAACAACACACACACATATATAAATAATTTCTATTCTTCTATCTATGAGTGCCGATCAATAAATTGTCTGTCTTTATTAATTATATATATTTACATCATAGCCCTTTGGATATTTCCATAAGCGCACCATCCCTATCTTCAGCAGCCAGTAAACAGGTCATTCAGAGCTGCATTATTCTTTCCAGACCTTTATAATCTCTTCGGGCCTTTGTACTGTTGGTAACTCACTAGCGCTACCAAAGAGCTTTGACGAAATGTATCTTGGCATTAATTTACCTGCAAGAAGTGCAAAACCAGTCAGGCTGGCTACCTTGGACCTTGAATCAATGCTGGCTACTCTGTGTGAAGCATACCTATCTCCACCTTTCTTAACATGCTGTGTACTTATTTTTACTGTTTACAATTTCACAATATCAACATGTGTGAACAGTTGCTTCTTAAGCCAGTGGACGGCCACAATGACAATGGCTGCACTCAACCTTCATTCTCAAATTAGATATAGCACAATCAAAGTATCATTAACGCCAGCGGCCAAGCTTTTTTGCACCAACAAGGGTCATCCCTTTATTTTTGGCATCTTTTGCTATGGACAGAGACACCCCCCCCCCCCCCCCCCCCCCCCCATGTGGCACTACGTCTGTAAGTGAACAAAATCTCTGTTGATCAGAGGTAGCTGAAATAGTTGTCTGTCCTTTCCTATAACACCGCAGACCTACTCAAGCACTTTTGGGTTGTTTGTCATATCACTACTAGTAGTACCAGGCAACTGTAATAACAGTAAGTAATAAATATAATGATTGTACGTGTATTATTTTGTCACTGCTTTCTGAACGGCCCTCTGTGGTCTAGTGGCTAGATGCTCACACTCACATCAGATCGGAATGTTGCGGGTTCGGTTCGTGGCTGAGGCCAGACTGTTTCAAAACATGACCTTGGCTCCCAGGTAGACCCAGCCTTGAGTGGGTACCAGGTACAGTCCTAGGAAGTAAAGGCGGCCGGCGTGATGCTGTCCACGTCACTCGTCAAGTGCCGTTGGTCTATAAAATATAGATCTAGCCCTATATACCCTATATAAGCCTGAAAGGCGTGGAAAAGGGTCCTTTACTTACTGAAAATTTCTGAACTGAAGGATGATCATTTTTCATTTTCCATTGAGAACGAGAAGAGTCACACAAGGAGACGAGAGTATAACTAACCTTGTGGCTAAACTAAACATGCATGAATCAAAGGATCAATCAAGCTACATAAATCTAAACTGCTATGGGTCCAAAGTTACCTGAATGAAATTTTGTGATCTGTTTGCTTTCCTTCAACATCTTCTTGTAGAGAGACAAAATCCCTGCCCTTGTGGGCGCGGCCATCTTAAATGAAGATAACTCTGGTTCAGCTTACCACTTCATTTCTTCAACATCAAATTAGCGTATGAAATATTAGCGTTTAATAATCGAGGTTGGCTTTAGGCCTTATATACATTATATTGTGCTAATGCATTATTTTACAGTTGAATTCTCCGTCCAATATTACATTTGCATATTAAAAATGTTTTTAACGACTCTGGAGTGGATTTACAGTGACAACTCTTTTTAGCGGCTGAAATCGCATGCGGCTGAGTGAGCTGAGTCTTTCTGGTTTGCCATCTTGTGTTTGACAGTGTAATGTCAGGGAACAAAACCTATAGAGAACTGCGCAGTACCCTGCGATATGCCGTAAAAAACTTCTTAGGTTTCTTTCCTTCGAATTTGGAGCGGCTGTATCTTACTGAGGCTCATCTCCACAAAAACCTACACATCTTCAGCTCAGCCAGATCTACAAGCCTAAAACGGAGGTACCATTCAAAACTCACACTCTGCAACACAACCAAAGTTCTGTGCTGGTTACGAATAACGAGGGCATTTCTGTCAAAGTTTACACTGAAGTAGCTAGGATTTTTCTTCTCTAGACCACTCTGTCGAACGCACGCGACCTGGGATGGTGAAGAAGTAAATCATCTTGAGCCTTCCCTTCGAGTCAGTCACATAATTAACTAACAAGCGCATCATTCCTTTTTTAAGCAAAAAATTTGACCGTACTCTAAGAACAAATCCGATTGTTCAATGTGATTTGTGATTTTGTTGATCATTTTAGGAGTGTGTGAGAACGAGAAGTAAAGAGACACAAGGAGAGTATATTATTGACTAACCGTGTGGCTAAACTAAACATGCATGAATCAAAGGATCAATCAAGCTACATAAATCTAAAGTGCTTAGTTAAATAAGTTACCTGAAGTTGTATTCTGTGATCTGTTTGCTTTCCTTCAACATCTTCTTGTAGAGAGACAATATCTCTGCCCTTGTCTGGCGCAAGGGAGCTACATTGAAGATAACTATGGGAGACCGCTGGCGACCTCATTTCGCACATCCTATTTGTATCCCATGAATTAATCAATGTTTACAGAATGACTGAAATCGAACTTATTTATAAGAAGAAGAAGGTTTCTATATCACTTTAGATTGTTATTGTGTCTCAGATGAAATAACAATACTGTGTTTTATAATTGCTGTAGCTGTGTAATATAAAGCATTCAATAAGTGTTATATTTATAAAGCATTCATTAAGTGATATATTTATAAATCATTCAATAAGTGATATATTTATAAATCATTCAATAGGTTGAGGGAATTTAAACCAAGCATTCAATAAGATATATATCGTATAAAGCGATTAATTAGTGAGTATTTTTAAAGCAATTTGGAGTGTTATATTTATCAAGCATTCACTAAGTGATATATTTATAAAGAATTCAATAAGTGATATATTTATAAAGCATTCATTAAGTGATATATTTATAAAGCATTCACTAAATGATATATTTATAAAGCATTCAATAAGTGATATATTTATAAAGCATTCTGAAGTAATTAAACGGTTAGTCCACGTCATAGAGGTCTGCAATGCAATAAAGTAGGGGATTCTAGGAAGTGGGCGAAAAAACCAGTGGTCTCGTGCCACGGGACCGCTACGGTAGCCATGAAGGCCACCTAAGGTCATAACAAAACGTCACAATCAGTTTACGGTCTTTCATTGAATTATTTACAACAGGCCTAGCAAGCTGGCAATGGATTTATTATCGCTACAGAAAACACAACCGAGATATAAATGTGTAAGTGGCTGTCATAACGGTAGCTGAATATACCTATACACAAATTTATTTATTCCAACTCTGTGCTACCAGTGTCAGACATGGTTTCACTCACAACAAACCATAAAAGAAAATTAGTAACCATGGAGATGAAATGTCTAAGAAGTGCTGTAGGAGTTGACCACATAGAGATAAGATATGGAATAAGATCATAAGAGAAAAAGTAGGCATCTGCCCCAATTCTAAATTACATACGAAGACAGCAGTTGAAAAGCTTTGCCCACTTAGAGAGAATGCCTTGTGACATACATACCATACAGCCTTTACGCTGAAAGTTGGACAAAGAGCATGAGGTACACCAAGAGCAAACATGGAAGGATAACATCAGAAAAACCTACAACAGCACGATGTGATATGGTCGACTTTCTCTCAAAGAGCTTTGACTAGCTTGTCATATATCTCCCTCAACACCCACAGTGGGGTAAAAGAGGAAGTGAAGAAGAAGAGGAAGAAGATTCAATAAGAGATATATTTATAAAGCATTCACTTTGTGATATATTTATAAAGCATTCCATAAGTGATATATTTATAAAGCATTCATTAATATCAACATTAGACAGTGTCCTTTAGGTTCGCAACTCACATTAGATTAACAGTCCATATTTGGTTGACACAAAGTTGACAATCAGATTGACAGTGTCTCTCTAGTTGACATAATATATATCAGATTGATAGTTCAAATCAGATTAAAAGTTTATAAAAAGTGGCCAGTTAATATCAGATTGACAGTTCATATCAAATTGACAGTTATATCAGGTTGACAGTTTATATCAGATAAATCTTGTCAGGATGACAATATATATCAACACAAAATCTGTATGACAGTTCATATTGTTTGCACTATGCCAAAGTCATTTATAAGCAGTCTTGGCTGATTTCAACTAAGGGCATAGGTCATAATGAAATATTACTGTTCAGGTGGCTACATAAATTTAATTTGCCCCTTCAAAGAGAAACATGATTTTATCTAAACAAGCATTTAGCACTTTGGGTTAGTACCAGTAATGTCAGGTTGACAATTCACAGTAAGTTGACAATTCATATCAAAGTTAACAGTTGGTATGAAGTTCATAATTCATATCAGGCTAACAGTTGGTATAAAGTTGACAGTTCACACCAGGTTGACAATTCATATCAGCTTAATTTAGTGTGAAATTGACACTTCATATCAGACTGACAGTTTTTGTTTTGTTTCAGTTAAACAGTAGCTATGAAGTTAACAATTCACACCATGTTGATAAGCCATATCATGTTAACAACTGGTGTGAAGTTGACATTTCATAACAGATTGATAATTCACCCTATTTTGACATAGACCACCAGGTTGACAATCCACTTCTGTTAACAACCCACCTCAGGTTGGCATGCTAGACAATGCTGCATTTTGACGCGCAGCTGAGTCTTGCAAAGTATTACATGGTGAAAGTAACAAAGTATTACATAGTGAAAGTAGCAAAGTATTACATAGTGAAAGTTACAAAGTATTGCATAGTGAAAGTAACATCACACCAGGCAGCAGAACATATATTCCAAGACTGCCTTGATTATGACACATAAAAGCAAAAAAATTTTGGCCAGAAAGGAACAGCGGAAAGTAAACTTTAAGCACCATTGTATGAACTTTAAAAAAAAAAAAACAAAAAAAAAAACTATGAAATTTGAATGAAAGAAACATTTTCAGACATAAACAACTTTTTTCAGGCAAATGAAAAAAGTAGTAGTAAAAGTCTGAGATTGAATAATATTGATAAATGGTTTAGGCTTCAATTATTATGATTTTGATTAATTTCAAGCTTTGATTTCAGAGATCTTGTTTTGACACTGCAAGAATGAGTTTGACGAGATGTTGGCGGTTATGGCCGACTGCAGACAAAACAGTTTTACCCTGTAGATGGCTGTATGCTTCACTTCACACTAGCTCCATCTGCAAAAAGTCGCATAAGAAACTTCAGTACTCTATTGGAAACACAATAGAGATTTTAGGTAAATCTTATGAAACAGACCACCTCACGAACACCACACCAGCCATACTTAAGAAAGTTGGGACAAATCTCCACAATACGCCAGGCCATCCTTTAAATCACATATGCAGACGTATTGAGACATATTTTAATTCTGCTTATGTACGTAGAGGAAATCCCAGATTTTCTGTCTACAACAGGTTGAGCCCTGTTGTAACACACGAACAAAACTTTGACAGTTTATTGGTGCCTGCGAACCATGTCAGCCGCTCGCCACAAGACTCTTACTACATCAATTCTGAATACATGCTCCGAGCACACACGTCTGCTCACCAGCGTGATCTGGTACGTACTGGGCTCGATGCTTTCATGGTCATCGGGGATGTCTACAGACGAGATGCGATTGACTCCACTCATTATCCAGTGTTTCATCAGCTAGAAGCAGTGCAACTGTTTTCTGACTTTGAGGTAAGTATCTGATGGCGGTTTTATATCTCATAGAGGCTGCTGAAGGGGATTTTTATCTTTAAGAGAGTGTATCAAGACCGTTTTGTATCTTTTCAGACAGTGCCTGAAGATGTTTTTAACAAATATTTTACATTGTGTCTGCAGACTGTTTTGTTATACTCTTTAACAGTGTCTGCAGGCTGTTTTGTTATACTCTTTAACAGTGTCTGCAGGCTGTTTTGTTATACTCTTTAACAGTGTCTGCAGGCTGTTTTGTTGTACTCTTTAACAGTGTGTGCAGGCTGTTTTGTTGTACTCTTTAACAGTGTGTGCAGGCTGTTTTGTTGTACTCTTTAACAGTGTCTGCTCTAGCTCCTTTTGTTATACTCGAAAAAACAGTGTGTGCAGGCTGTTTTGTTGTACTCTTTAACAGTGTGTGCAGGCTGTTTTGTTGTACTCTTTAACAGTGTCTGCAGGCTGTTTTGTTGTACTCTTTAACAGTGTCTGCAGGCTGTTTTGTTATACTCTTTAACAGTGTGTGCAGGCTGTTTTGTTATACTCTTTAACAGTGTGTGCAGGCTGTTTTGTTGTACTCTTTAACAGTGTCTGCAGGCTGTTTTGTTGTACTTTAACAGTGTCTGCAGACTGTTTTGTTGTATTATTTAACAGTGTCTGCAGGCTGTTTTGTTGTACTCTTTAACAGTGTGTGCAGGCTGTTTTGTTGTACTCTTTAACAGTGTCTGCAGGCTGTTTTGTTGTACTCTTTAACAGTGTCTGCAGGCTGTTTTGTTATACTCTTTAACAGTGTGTGCAGGCTGTTTTGTTGTACTCTTCCAAACAGTGTGTGCAGGCTGTTTTGTTCAAACTCTTTAACATGTGGGTTGCATGCAGTAGGCTGTTTTGTTGTACTCTTTAACAGTGTGTGCAGGCTGTTTTGTTGTACTCTTTAACAGTGTGTGCTGGCTGTTTTGTTATACTTTAACAGTGTCTGCAAACTGTTTTGTTATACTCTTTAACAGTGTCTGCAGGCTGTTTTGTTGTACTCTTTAACAGTGTCTGCAGGCTGTTTTGTTGTACTCTTTAACAGTGTCTGCAGGCTGTTTTGTTGTACTCTTTAACAGTGTCTGCAGGCTGTTTTGTTGTACTCTTTAACAGTGTCTGCAGACTGTTTTGTTGTACTCTTTAACAGTGTCTGCAGGCTGTTTTGTTGTACTCTTTAACAGTGTCTGCAGGCTGTTTTGTTGTACTCTTTAACAGTGTCTGCAGACTGTTTTGTTATACTCTTTAACAGTGTCTGCAGACTGTTTTATATCTCAAAGAGAATGTCTGAATGATGGTTTTTTTTTAAAGCTGGGAGATAAAAGGCAGGGATATCCACATGGAGCAAGGTTAACCCTGTTGCACAGAGAAGCCGCAAAAAAAAAGGCTGTTTTTTTATCTAAGATAGTGTCCTAAGACTGTTTTCTGTCTTTGAGAGAATGTGTGCAGACTGTTTTCTGTCCTTATAAGAGTGTTTGAAGGCTTTAAAAAAAAATGTGATCATGACTAGATACAAGGAGAGAATTCATCTCTGTGCCTGTGTTGCTGAGTATGGAAAAAGATCCAAAAAAAAAAAAAAACTAGTTGGAAGAATAAAGATTTAAATAAGATCATTGGAAGCCACTACATCCCCACACCCTAAATGACTAGAACCAGTAGGATAAAGAAAGAATAGCAGCACTACAGCCTACCTTGCATGTCAACAGAGATAGCAGAATAGGCATGATACTGACTACCTCATCATAAAGAAAGCTTCAGCTGCCAAATGAGTTAATTAAAATGGAAGATAATACTTTTTTTTTTTCAGAAGTATTAGTGACCTATTAAAAATTTTATTTTAAAAGGATTTTGCAGGAATTACCAGGGGTTCATGACCCATATTTTGTTGTTTTTGTTGTTATTGTTTTGTTTAAGTGCTAATAAGGTGACAGGGTTAGGGCTGAATAGGTGCATGTTGCTTCCACAGCTTTTCTCTGACATGCCAAACCCAGAATCCATGTCACTGTTTGAGCCAGGAGTTAGAGATGACAACAAACAAGAAAGGCACACTTTGCAAACAGCCCTACTCCTAGAGCAGACTCTGAAGTCTTGCCTCGAGGGACTCATGAGAGCTCTGTTTGGGCAAGGTATGCCATAGGTTATACTGTCACCACATTAGTAAAGTACCGCAAAATACCCTCTAACATTAAGCACGGGTTAGACCAAGAACAAGATAGAAAGATAACATCAGAGAAACTTTACAACAGCATGATGTGTCTATGGTCAGAAGAGCAAGAAGCAGAACCTAATATCTCCCTGAACACACACACACACATGCATGAACGCACCCCCCCCCCTTCCCCCCCTCCCCCCCCCCCCCCGCCTCTTAAGGCTCTACACCACAAGCTTTTAACTCCCTGTGTGTGTTCCATGGTCTTATTTGTGGGGTGGGAAATGAACCACTACACCCCTGACAAGTATTTTATAAAATGTTGATTAATGAGGAGTTTGCTGAAATCATATGTGTTGAGTGTAAAGGAACAGATATTACAGCCTAGCTGTAAACCACAACCCAACATGCCAACCACTCTTTCAAGAGCAAATGCAGAAGAAGAAGAGGCTTTGAACTAGCACCAGCAACAGAACCGTGCTTCTGACTATTTGACAGACAAAAACTTTTCTTGTTATTCTCAACATTTTCTTGTTGTTGAAAGTACATATGTTTTGCATTAGTTATTCATTGAAAGTACATACAGTTTTGTATTAGTTATTTATTGAAAGTACATACAGTTTTGTATTAGTTATTCATTGAAAGTACATACTGTTTTATATTAGTTATTCGTTGAAAGTACATACTGTTTTATATTAGTTATTCGTTGAAAGTACATACTGTTTTATATTAGTTATTCGTTGAAAGTACATACTGGGACTCCTCATTAGTTATTCGTTGAAAGTACATACAGTTTTGTATTAGTTATTCGTTGAAAGTACATACTGTTTTATATTAGTTATTCGTTGAAAGTACATACTGTTTTATATTAGTTATTCGTTGAAAGTACATACTGTTTTATATTAGTTATTCGTTGAAAGTACATACAGTTTTGTATTAGTTATTCATTGAAAGTACATACTGTTTTATATTAGTTATTCGTTGAAAGTACATACTGTTTTATATTAGTTATTCGTTGAAAGTACATACAGTTTTATATTAGTTATTCGTTGAAAGTACATACAGTTTTGTATTAGTTATTCGTTGAAAGTACATACTGTTTTATATTAGTTATTCGTTGAAAGTACATACTGTTTTATATTAGTTATTCGTTGAAAGTACATACTGTTTTATATTAGTTATTCCTTGAAAGTACATACTGTTTTATATTAGTTATTCCTTGAAAGTACATACTGTTTTATATTAGTTATTCATTAAAAGTACATACTGTTTTATATTAGTTATTGTGTCTGTTTCTCTTTGAATCTTGGATGTTGCTAGACCTGCAGATGAGATGGGTGGGAGCCTACTTCCCCTTTACCCACCCATCCTGGGAGCTAGAGATCTTCTACCAGGGTGAGTGGGTGGAGATGCTAGGTTGTGGAGTCATGGAGCAAAAGCTTGTCGATTCTGGTAAGTAAACATAAGAGACCTCAAAACAATGTTTTCCTGTAATGAGTTAGAATAATGCGGACACAAACAATACATTGCACAATTTATTACCAGGCATATTTCACTAAATCTTGTCAGGTGCGTTGCTACAGAGTTACATCAACATAAAATGAAGCACAAAACTGAATAAGAGATCTCAGTTTGAATATTCAGTAAGGTTCAGGACGGTTCCCCACCCCCTCTTGGGGGCAAGGAATTAACATCCTTAAATGCACACTCCCCTAATTCACAGAAATGTTAATGTGAATGCTTTAGAAGAGCCTGGTCATGGTTTGTGTATCTGTAGCAGAACTATCTGGATGAAGGTCCTGATTGCACGGTTAGTTTATTTTACGAGTTTGTTTAGAGTAATTATGAGTAAGTTTGACCATGGAACAACCTATGAATTAATAATGAACAGTCTGCTGTCATAGTAGAGGTTTCAGCTTCACTGCAGTTGGGTCACCCCATACTAGCTGCGTTCATATGCCAGTGAAAATTTAATTACTGCCCCATTTAAAAAACTGGAGAACAAACAATTAGTTCCGACACAATCAGGAAATATCTGCACACATTAAATGCATATTGCAGTTGCTAGAGGCACCAAAGCCAACATTTGCTACCAGAAATGTAGTCTGTCATTGATGTAAGTAGCTGGTCATGATAAGTTAGCTATTTGCATGCAAAACTGTTACACTAGGTATCTCACTAGCCCGCATGCAAAATGGCTACTGGCCATATTAAATACCACAGCTGAATCGATGTACAAATAAAAGGCATTCCACATGAAAATAAAAACAGCACACAGTGCTGCACCTAGCACTTAACTAAGTAGCTTAAGCAGCGAAACTGTTGACATCTGCCAGTGTGTGGTAACTGCATTAGCAAAATGCTGTCAGGAGCAAAAATAACTTCAAACATTATGTCATGCCTAGTCCTCCATAAGGACTGGAAGCCCTTTAAATGGTAAACAGTCTACTAACAAATGGTCCCTGTTACTCAACACAGAACAAACTATTGACTAACAGTGAACAATCTACTATCCAACATGAAATAGATGACCCCCAATGCATTACTGAACAGTCTACTCAACACAGAACAAAACCTCCCATATGCAGCACTGAACAGTCTACTCAATACAGAACAAAACCTCCCATATGCATCACTGAACAGTCTACTCAACACGGAACAAACAATTGACTAACAGTGAACAATCTACTATCCAACATGAAATAGATGACCCCCAATGCATTACTGAACAGTCTACTCAACACAGAACAAAACCTCCCATATGCAGCACTGAACCATTTCAGCATTTTTGCATTTACAGCTGGAGCAACTGATAAGGCAGGTTGGGCTTTTGGCCTTGGTCTGGAGAGACTGGCCATGAAGCTGTACTCTATACCAGATATCCGGCTTTTCTGGAGCACAGACTCTGGCTTCCTGACCCAGTTCAAGAACAAGAACTTTGATGAACCGATAACATACAAGGTAAGATGTGGATGCCTTCCCCACCCCCTTATCCATTGCAGCCAGCCTTCATAGTGGAGACAACACCTGATTGGTTGATGATTTTCTCTCCATCTTGATGGCTTCAGTTCAGAACGAATATGAAATAAGGCTAGGAATATCCTAACTCCTAACACCTGTTCATATTCATCAAGGTGATTGACCCTCTCAGTCTTCTTCTTCTTATCATATTCACCCTCTCAGTCTTCTTCTTATCATATTGACCCTCTCAGTCTTTCTTCTTATCATATTGACCCTCTCAGTCTTATTCTTATCATATTGACCCTCTCAGTCTTCTTCTTATCATATTGACCCTCTCAGTCTTCTTCTTATCATATTGACCCTCTCAGTCTTCTTCTTATCATATTGACCCTCTGTCTTCTTATCATATTGACCCTCTCAGTCTTCTTCTTATCATACTGACCCTCTAGTCTTCTTCTTATCATATTGACCCTCTAGTCTTCTTCTTATCATATTGACCCTCTCAGTCTTCTTCTTATCATATTGACCCTGTCAGTCTTCTTCTTATCATATTGACCCTGTCAGTCTTCTTCTTCTTATCATATTGACCCTGTCAGTCTTCTTCTTATCATATTGACCCTCTCAGTCTTCTTCTTATCATATTGACCCTGTCAGTCTTCTTCTTATCATATTGACCCTGTCAGTCTTCTTCTTATCATATTGACCCTGTCAGTCTTCTTCTTATCATATTGACCCTGTCAGTCTTCTTCTTATCATATTGACCCTGTCAGTCTTCTTCTTATCATATTGACCCTGTCAGTCTTCTTCTTATCATATTGACCCTGTCAGTCTTCTTCTTATCATATTGACCTTCTCAGTCTTCTTCTTATCATATTGACCTTCTCAGTCTTCTTCTTATCATATTGACCTTCTCAGTCTTCTTCTTATCATATTGACCTTCTCAGTCTTCTTCTTATCATATTGACCCTGTCAGTCTTCTTCTTATCATATTGACCCTGTCAGTCTTCTTCTTATCATATTGACCCTTTCAGTCTTCTTCTTCTTATCATATTGACCCTGTCAGTCTTCTTCTTATCATATTGACCCTCTCAGTCTTCTTCTTATCATATTGACCCTGTCAGTCTTCTTCTTCTTATCATATTGACCCTGTCAGTCTTCTTCTTATCATATTGACCCTCTCAGTCTTCTTCTTATCATATTGACCCTGTCAGTCTTCTTCTTATCATATTGACCTTCTCAGTCTTCTTCTTATCATATTGACCTTCTCAGTCTTCATCTTATCATATTGACCTTCTCAGTCTTCTTCTTATCATATTGACCCTGTCAGTCTTCTTCTTATCATATTGACCCTGTCAGTCTTCTTCTTATCATATTGACCCTGTCAGTCTTCTTCTTATCATATTGACCCTGTCAGTCTTCTTCTTATCATATTGACCCTGTCAGTCTTCTTCTTATCATATTGACCCTGTAAGTCTTCTTCTTATCATATTGACCTTCTCAGTCTTCTTCTTATCATATTGACCTTCTCAGTCTTCTTCTTATCATATTGACCTTCTCAGTCTTCTTCTTATCATATTGACCTTCTCAGTCTTCTTCTTATCATATTGACCCTGTCAGTCTTCTTCTTATCATATTGACCCTGTCAGTCTTCTTCTTATCATATTGACCCTGTCAGTCTTCTTCTTCTTATCATATTGACCCTGTCAGTCTTCTTCTTATCATATTGACCCTCTCAGTCTTCTTCTTATCATATTGACCCTGTCAGTCTTCTTCTTATCATATTGACCCTTTCAGTGTTTTTCTTACCATTCACCAGCTGTAAAGTTCTGAAGAAAAGTTCTGGCTGTTCATCCACTCCTGGACTTCATTTTTATGCTGAGCTTGAGTTTTACTTGCACATCCATTTTACACATCTGGCTTCTTTGTATGCAGACTGTTGGTTCTTCTCCTGGCAGGAATGTGCACCACAACATCAAAGGAAACACCTTTTATGACATGCTTGTTAGGGGCAGGGAGTTTGCCACATCAGAAATCCACATCAGAGTGGGTTTTTATTATTTGACCAACCCATCTTAAAATGGGTATAAGGTTCTGGGAAGTAAAGGTGTTCGCTTTGATGTAAACCACTAAACCCATTGTGTGCCGACTGACGTATACAAAAATGCTTCTTACCATGTGAATTGTGTGACAGTGTTGTGAAAAGGGGCCTTGACCTACTTTACTTTCAACATGGCTGCCTTGGATGAAATTGTTACCTTTTATTTGTTCTTTATTTCATAAAAACAGCCTGTGAGCAAGCATCCACAATGTGTCAATGACATCTCATTCTGGATCCCAGAATCCTTCTCTTCTAACGACTTCTACGATCTTGTGAGGTCTGTGGCAGGAGATCTAGTCGAGCAGGTTGGTATGTAAGATTACTGGGTAAATGTTGGTTTCTGAAGAAGGAGACTTGGCACATGACATATCTTGAGTGCAGTGATGTCAGTTTTTAACTCATTCATTTATTTTTTTGCTGCGTAAGAGAACAGCATGTGTGGGAATGTATTGAGTGCAGTTGTCTGAGTTCATTCATTCATTCACTGAGCAAATGTGCTTCTTCCACTGTCTGTTGAGGCATTAGTCTCTTACCAAGTGTTTCTGTTGAAATAATTAGAGTCTGTAACTAACCATGTTTTGGGTTTCTTTGTCTTCTTCTTCTTGTTTTTGTTCTTCTTCTTCTTCTTCTTCTTCTTCTTCTTCTTCTTCTTCTTCTTCTTCTTCTTCTTCTTCTTCTTCTTCTGATCGCTTTCTAGATTTACACTGATAAAGGAGTTTTTTAAAATAAAGTTCACTTTTTTGTTGTTGTGGACATCCTCTTCGGTTCTATACAACTTGGAATATGATGTTGACTCATTTAGCCATCATTCCCTTCTAAATGGGCTGTACATGAGACAAATATATTGTGTGGTTTGTATGCACGGCCCACACTAGCACAGTGGTGAACTACTTAGACCAAGCCTGTGCATATGCAGACAGAGTTTGTTATGTTTGTTGTGCCCTGTCTTGGGGAGAAGCATGATGACATGTTTATGCCGGTCAAGTAAATGTTTATGGCCTTATTCTTTTCACTTCTGATAAACTGCATGCTTCTTTTTTTTAAATCTCTTTCTGCCATATGAGTGCCATCTTACTGCTGAACTAACATTATGTTCACTAGAGACTGTTCTGATTGCCAACAGGTGACCCTTATTGATGAGTTTGTTCATCCCAAAACTGGCCGAGGCAGCCATTGTTACCGTTTAGTGTATAGACACATGGAGAAGGCCTTGACCCAAGAGGAGGTCAACAGCATTCACCAACAGATTGAAGCAAGCGCGGCGGAACAGCTTGATGTTCAGATCCGATGAGGGCTGACTTTGTTCAGTATTGGTTCATAATGTTCTGTGAATTGTTTGCGATGTTGTTTTAATATGGCAATATGCTTGTGTTATTTTGTGAAATATAGATGTCCAAATAGGCAACTTTTTATACAGTCTGCCTCAGCATAGCTGCCAGAATGTCTGCTTGTGAGATAAGTGAATTAGACTATGTGGCTTAGAGCATAGCTATTCAACTCACCTTACTCAGGAGCAAAAATGTTGACAATAGGGATCGTCACAGGCCAAAGACCCGGAAGATTATTGATACAAAACAATTGGCAGTGCCATTTGCTAGGCACCGCGGGCCGCCAGTTGAGTAGCCTTGGCTCAGAGGCTAGTGAAATCGTTTCACAATGTAATCCTCAATGTTTATCACCAGGGTTTGGTTGCCATGGTGGGCGGTCAAGACAAGGACTGTTCTCATGGCTGTCAGACAGTGCTATGAGAGTCACACCATGGAAGAGACAGGGGCGCCTGAGCATGTAATATTCTCATAGTTAGCCATAAATGCATTGCAGCCATCCTGTGTTGTGGAGGAGGTACAATTTTATTTTTTGGTGGGGGAGGGGGGGGGGGGGGGGGGGAACTACGGATGTTGACAAGGAGTAAAGTTCTATTTGCAGGCTTGTAAATGTATTTGGAATTTGGTACTTAAAGACTATCAATTTAATAATACAGTAAAAGTAAAAGAACCTTTTCTGTACCTTCAGGCAAATGTATAACTAGACCTATATTTTATAGACCAGTCAGTAGTTTATGAGTGATGTGGTCAACAAAATGCCGGCCGCATGTAATTCCCAGGAGTTTACCCAGTACCCATTTATGACTGGGTCAACCTGGAAGCCAGGGTCATTTTTGAAAAAAGTCCAGCTCCTTCAGGAATAAACCTGTGATCTTTGGATCCGCAGGCAAGCGCCTAGCAGCCAGACCACAGTAATTCTCAGTCAGATATATAGTTGTCTTTACTACTTCTGTGACAGATAAGTTCTGTAACAGTAGAGTTCATGAGTATCTGTTGTATGTGAGTACTGTTAACAGTTTAGTGTATGAGCACTTTAACAGTAGAGTATATGATTACTGTAACAGTATAATATATGAACAGTGAAAGTTTGACATGGCATGGAAGATCATCTGTGTCAGAGTTGATTGAAAGGACAAAAGACAGAAGGTTGTGGATAGACATAACTACCAACGCCACAGGGTAGGGACTTAAAGAAAAAGTGTAACAGCAGAGTATATGAGTACTGTAACAGGGGAGGGCAAGTAAAGAACCCTTTTTGGTGCCTTCATTTGTATTGGGCATATAGGGCAAGATCTAAATTTTGAAGACCAGTCGGGACTCGGTGGGTGATTTGTTCAACATCTGTAACAATAGAGTACACAAGTACTGTAAGACTGTGTGACAGTAGAGTACTTCAGTATGATAACAGATGGGTATTGTAACACAAATATTTTACTAATACAGCACACCTGTACTTTACCAGTGCAGTCATTGAGATGAAAACGTAAGGAGTTTACTAGTTAAGTTAGTTATCTATCCTTTACAGGATGTTGCCGAACCAACCCCAGAAACTTTTGGCTGTTGTGGTTTTTCTAGACAAATTTACGACTAGTAGTCTGCCACTGTCGGCTCTGTGGCTAAGTCGATGCGAACGCTTCGCTTCGTAATGCCGTGATGCCAGGTTCGATCCTTGCTGCGGGCAACTCGCCTTGCGTTGGTTTCGACAGTGGTATCAAGAAAGCCGACCGTCCAGAAGCAATGGCAAACTACTGGATGTAAATTGCCTAGAGAAACCACACAACAGCCAGGGGCTGTTAGGGTTGGTTCTGCAACGTCCTTTAAAGGATACGCAACTAACTAGTTTGCCACTGCTTTCTGGATGGTTAGCTCTTGATGCCGCTGTCGAACCCAACACAGTCTCCTTCCGCTGGTATCGAACCCGGCAACTCAGCATTATGAAGCACGTTCACAATGCCTAAACCACTGACGCCGACAAGTTCTCCAACATGACAAATCTTTGGGTGCCTGACAGCCCGAAAATAAGAATGGTCAATAAATTTCAACTATTGCATAATATAAATAAGATACATTATGCAAATAACAGGGAACCGCCATGAGGTAGTGGCTATACACTCGCCACAGACGCTGACAGTTTACTATAACCCCACCCCCACCCCCCTTCCCAAAATAAATTTAATTGGTAAAGACACTTAATTCAATGCCCTACAAGTTATTTTATGTGTGTGTCTGCGTACGAGTGTATGCGCGCAAAAATGTTGAATATAATGAAAATAAACACACTTTGTCTTTTACACCCTTAACATTTCGTCTTCTTCTTCTTTTGTCGATATCTGCTTATGCCGCTAGGTGCTGCAGTTCATCAGACAATTTGCAGTCGAGCCAGGGTGCGCTCAGTCGCTCGATATGACGTGATGTTATGCAATTTCAAGGTGTCAGTGACTCCTTCAATCCATCTTCTTCTCAGTCTTCCCCTGCCTCTTGATGTTTTGATTTTCAGGTTGTACGCTCTTGCTGTTGGTATTGTTGGGTTCATTCTCATTAGATGGCCAAACCATTTCATTCTTTGTTTCTCAATAAATTTGACGATGGTTGTTGTTTCAATGGTTTTTGTAATCAGGTTGTTTCTCACACAATCTTGTCTGGTTTTTTTTTTCACAGCCATTCTCAAACATCTCATCTCACAGGTGGTTAGTTTTCTTTCGTGTTCTTTTTTCAATGTCCACGTCTGACATTGGTAGTCTAAAGTCAGTATAAATATTGTATTTATAATTTCTTTTTGTCTTTATTGGGATAGCAGAGGGTTTTTAAATTGGAACAAGTTGGTACGCAACATTGTTGGCTTGTTGGATTCTTGTTTCTGTGTCTATGTCTATTTCACCATTGTGTGTAAAGATGCTTCCCAAGTATTTAAATTCTTGCAGTTGTTTCAGGCTTTGATCTTTGTTCTTTATGTCGATGGTTTGTTGCTCTCTATTTAGTCTAATGACTTCTGTTTTTTCAATATTGATCTTCATGTGATGTTATTGGCAACTGTCATGTAGTTGGTTTATGTGGTTCTGCAGCTGTTTACATTCACTGTGGAATATGCACTGATCGTCGGCAAAGTGCATATTTTGTCTATGGTATAATTATGAGATGTAGTTGCCAAGTATTTAGTGGTTTTGCTTTCAAACATACTTGTCTAAAGGTTGAATATTTATTGTTTGAATTAAAATTGTTTTGTCAGAATGGCTGTAGAATCAATCCAGCCTTATAAATTTGGCAGCAAATAATGTTTGAGAGGCAAGCAAATATTGTGAGCAGATGAAATTGGTGAGTCTACCTCCTTATCTTGTCAGCCGCCTTGGTGTAGCAGCTAGATGCTTGCCTGAGGATCGGAGGGTCATGGGTTCATGTCTTGACAGAACCGGACATTTTTTCAAAAATGATCTGGACTCATATTGACTCAACTTTAACTCTTAGAGTCCCAAGGAATGCATCAGATGCTCATAGGTTCCTGCCTAGAAACCCAATAAACGCGTGATGCCCTGATTTTACGTCTATCTTAACTCTTTGAGTCCCAAGGAACGCATGATACAATCATAGGTTACTGCATAGAAGCCCAATGAACGCATAATACGCTGATTTTACGTCTCTCTTGACTACCCTCTGGGACTCAAAGAGTTAATTGGGTACCAGGTACACGTCCTGGGAAGTAAAGGTGTCCAGCATGATGCTGACCACATCACCCACCAAGTGCTGATTATTCTTTAAAATATAGGTCTAGCCCTATATGCCCAATACACCTAAAGGCATGGGAAAGGTCACTTTACTGTTTACTTTTAGTTGCGCTTGTTATTTTTGTTTATATGGCACACATTTATTTGCTCTGTTTGTCCCATTCTTATGTTACATTGGCCTATTATACCTCAGTTGGTACTATATACCTCAGTTGTTACTATATACCTCAGTTGTTACTATAAATCCTGTCCAAAACTATACTTTTTAATTCTGTAAGACCAATATTGGTACTATAATGTCCAGTATCTTTAGTACAAACAGCGCTGAAGTAACAAGTACAGTGTTTTCTCAAAATTAAAACCTACACACACCCCCCCCCCCCCCCCCTTTTTCACACAAAAAAAAGCTCTAGCAAGATTCTCAGGATATTTTTAATTAAGCCCTATCCCAGAAGTAAGCCCTATCCCAGAAGCAAGCCCTATACCAGAAGTAAGCCCTATCCCAGAAGCAAGCCCTATCCCAGAAGTAAGCCCTATCCCAGAAGTAAGCCCTATCCCAGAAGTAAGCCCAATCCCAGAAGTAAACCCTATCCCAGAAGTAAACCCTATGCCAGAAGTAAGCCTTATCCCAGAAGTAAGCCCAATCCCAGAAGTAAGCCCAATCCCAGAAGTAAGCCCAATCCCAGAAGTAAACCCTATCCAAGAAGTAAACCCTATCCAAGAAGTAAGCCCTATCCCAGAAGTAAGCCCTATCATAGAAGTAAACCCTATCCCAGAAGTAAACCCTATCACAGAAGTAAGCCCTATCATAGAAGTAAGCCCTATCCCAGAAGTAAGCCCTATCCCAGAATTAAGCCCTATCCCAGAAGTAAGCCCTATCCCAGAAGTAAACCCTTTCCCAGAAGTAAACCCTATCCCAGAAGTAAACCCTATCCCAGAAGTAAACCCTATCCCAGAAGTAAACCCTATACCAGAAGTAAACCCTATCCCAGAAGTAAGCCCTATACCAGAAGTAAACACTATCCCAGAAGTAAGCCCTATCCCAGAAGTAAATCCTATCCCAGAAGTAAACCCTATCCCAGAAGTAAGCCCTATCCCAGAAGTAAGCCCAAGTTAAGATCATCAGCTAGAATGAGAGACTTGTTGCTGAATGGCCAGTAAAAGTACAGATGCCACTGGTGCACACTTGATAATGAATGGATGTGGTTCAGAATTCAAGGACCATTTCATATATAAACCAATGACTA